TGGAGGAATGGAGGCCCCCTCCACCTTCCATCCCTCCTTTAGGCTACTGAGACAAAATCCAAAGGCCAGACATTTAGTACCTCCATGGCTGTATTTGTATAAGCATCCAGGAATCAAACCCACGTCTCCTGTGTGGCCGACAAGGATTCTACCACAACAGGATTATATGATTGCTATAATCATTAACTTAGTCTTCCTTAAGATACTCTACTAGTATCTAATGTTACTTATATTTAGAAGCCAATTTTCTTCTCCCAGGGCAGGCATGCATGCATGCATGCATGCATTCAAATCTTGATCTGTAGAAAAAAAATTTAAAACCCTACAAAATTGGTGTATTTATTAGATACTGAGTCAAGTGTTAGTTGGCTAGCTGACTGCTGTTCAAGCATGCAGATCCCTTCTTCCCCACCCTCCACCCCCACCACAGCTGACATTCTTTTCTAATTCAGTGTCAGCGGAGGAACAGAAGGGTTTTTTTGCCTTGAAGGGGGTGTTGACCATAGGGAGTGTAGGGTTAGCCCCTGCTGTGTTGTGCTTTTTCATGCCAGGAATTCCCAATAGCTAGCATCATATTTTGAACCTAAAGCTGTCTTAAAGTCTCATGGATAACCTCTTTCTAGAATGGATATAAAAGTAAAACATTTCTGTGTGCTTCTTCCTGTTCTTTAAAATATTTGCTGCCAAAAAAACATACAGTAGAGGACTGGAAGATACTTCCAGGGTAAATTCTGAGATCCACAGGTCTTGAAAGCACCACCCTACACACAAGATCTTACTGGAATTTCTCTGCTTATCCCAAATGGGGTTTGACCACAGCTCTTGGGAAGAGAAGTAACCACCTGACCTGTTGCTTTGCTGCAGTGTGGGATGTACTCTGGAGTAAGCCGTGTTCCAGCTCACTGTGGAAAATGTGCTCCTTCTGCTTCAGCTTATTGGATTTCCCATGTGTAATTTTTAGTGTTTCCAGGCATTGCATTTGATCTCCACTCAGTACAATAAATTTGTCTTAATTTATAAAATGAGATATTTCCCAAATAAGTTCAGTTTGGACAAGGTCTCTCCTCTTTGAGAACCTTATTCTATGGGAGCAAACGAAGTTTAACTAAAATGTTCTCACTACAAGGGTGGCTAAGCACTGAAACATTATGTGGAGAGACTGTGGAGTCTCCATCACTTGCAAGTTTAAGAAGTTAGATGAGCACTTGCATGAGATGGCTTAGACGGGAATGATCCTGTCTTGAGCAGGGTGTTGGCCTGACTGATCACTTGGGGTACCTTCCAGCCCTGTTTTACTATGATTCTGTTGTTATGCTGCTCATGTCAATATGTTAATGGATAATATAACTAGTTTTTTCACAACTGGGGATCAGGCTTAAAATGAGAATGTAAACCTAGTTGCCATTTGGCCACATTTTTTAAACTGTTGCCCATTTGAATCTTATCAGGCCCCAGATGAACTGACAGTGGGGCTTGTGAGAAATCATTCATTTTGTCTTAATGTGTAGTATTCTTGGTTTTTGCCGGTGCTCTTTTTCACTTTTATGAGCCTTCACTATTAAATCTACTGCCTGGTATGATTATGTATGGAGAGCATTTCTGTTATATAGCACAGTGTATATAAGTTGGTATATACAGTATGTTGTTTTATATAAGCAGAACAATGCAAATCTACTGTAGCTACTGATATATTGCAATTTATCTGGAAGTATTCATTTGACATTTGTGTTTCTATACAGATTTCATTTTGTGGGTGGCTGGGCTGATCAGGTGTTAATTGATGAGAGAGTACTCAGCCCTATGCAAATCATTCAAATCTACCAACATGCAACAAAATAAAAGCAAATAAAAAGTGTACAGTGGCATGTAGCATTCTGAGTGACTATGTAGGAGCAATTGTATTCACCTGCTTGGTATTTTTATAGCTAGAGAGTTGGGAATAAAGCCATTTGACAGCAGGTAAAGGGCAGCTGAAATCAACCAAAACTGTACTAAAGATATGTATTCATCCCAAAAATTAATAGTGTAATGTGAAATGTAGATTAGTTCATTTTATTTGTGGATTACCTTTTCATCCCATTTCCTGTAACTACAGCACACTAAGTTTAAGATGACTGGCACACACAAGCGTTTCCTAAGCCGCACAGAATGCACCTTTTCTTCCTTCCCTCACCCCCTTTTTTTTTTACCAGCTTCTCAGCAAGTGTCTATGGCCTGACACTTCCATTCTGTTTAGGTCAGTGGTCTAGAAAGTCACGGTGTAAATGTCTTCTGGTTTTTTAAACTTGTCTGTGTATCTACATAAATATCTTGTCTCCTTTCACCATTTACTTACCAGCAGACTTTGATAGTATGACAGCTGATTTTAGTCCATTGATAGTGTCTCACAAGCAGAGATTCATGGTTTACTGCTCTCACAATCAGTTTATATATTCCTTGACATTTTCCTGTGTACTTTCCTTACTGTGCTTATCCATGCAAACTTCCTTGCATTATCTTTCAGTGTATGCTTTGAAGCTTATAGTTTCAGAGAGATGGAGAAGTGGTGTCTATACTGTAGGTTTGATCCTGTGTGGATAGATTTCTTTGCAAATTGTCCATGTGGGGCTGAGCTGCTTCATTCACCCACATTCTCTCCTGTGTCAGATGTTGATGAACACACAGTCCTAGTCCCCAGCTGTCTAAATGTTTTTCTTTCTGGAACAGGAATTCTCTTGGCAACTGAGCCTGGAAAATCCTCACTCCTTAAGTTTTAGAAGGAGACATATATTTTTATAGTTGTTAATTGTATATTTAAAGCAACCATCTTTCCTGCAGCTTCTCCAAGTTTATTTTCCCTTTGCAGCTCAGATTTGATACAAAAAAGATTTTTCCATGTTTATTTACCTTTTTTGGTTCTGTTTTTAGACGTTTAATCTTAAAGCTTTGGTGTACTGTACAGGGACAGTCTGTCTTTGTAATTACTGTATAAATGCTTTATTATAAAAAGTATATTACTTTTATTTTAACAAATGAGCAGACACTGTCTTTTATGTGTTTGCTGCCTTGGGCACCTTTTACAAAGACTGTTACATATAAAAAATAGTGTGGGGGGGGTGTGTACATATAATATATATACATAAAAAATATTTGCCTTTTTTTGCTGTACAGTTGTGATAGACCAGACTGATTTTATTTTTTGTGTGCTTTTTTTTTACAAAATATTAATACACTAAAGGAAATCTTGCTGATGTGATTGTAATGTACCCATGTAACTTATTTACTTAATGTCCCTCTGTATCTTTTTAAACCTTTTATTAAATAAGGTTTAAAAATGAGTTTTCTTAGCTGCAGGTTCTGTCATCTGTGTGTGTCAAGGGAATGTGGGTAGGGGGCTTCCTCAGCTTTTTATTGTGCCTTTGCTTTTTCATCTTTGAATCCAAATGTGTGTGTCCATACCCTCAGAAACAAACAGAAGCTTTTGTACCTGAAAACGACATTTTTTTAAAACATTTTTTGTGATGTTGATCTTGTTTATTTGATTCAGCACAGCTTTGTCTGAAACTATCTTCATGTTCTCTGTGGTCTCTCCAAAACATTAAATTGCTTTTTTGTGGCTTCAAAACAAAGTTAACTTCTAGTTAGTTGGTTAGCTCTTTATATAAGATTCTCACCATTATTGCATACGAGTGCCTAAAATCTCTTTTTAAATCAAAACAAATTAGTTGCCAAAATAGGCAGCTCACTAAAACCATGTGCTAGTCATATCTTGTAGCACAGTAACAGATTAATGAATA